TTCCACCTGTATGTTACCTATTTGAAGCTCTAGCCTACTTGTAGACTAAACCTTTAAAAACAGCTGACAGAGGCTTTACCGTTATTATAATGTCACCTTTATAAATGATGGCAAGTTAATTGCTTTAAGAAGAAAGTGTTCTATGGTGTTAATTTGCTTAATCCATTAATTAGGGTAAACATAAAAATAAGCCATATATACCAGTATGCTAGGATGAATAACAATAGAGTCCTTAGATGACGTATTCTTAATGATATGCCATCCAAAATCTTAGGAAAACTTTTAGTGCTGTAATTTTGTGATTGTGATCTAATGGGATTTTAGTGCAAGCGAAAATTACTAGGCTTATGAAATATAAATGAAAGTTCCCATAGTAGTTTCTCAAAGTATATGTGGAAGAAGTGGAAGAATGGAAGTTAATGTTGATAGACCAGTAAATAAGCACCTTTTCTCTTTTTCTTTTTTTTTTTTTCCTTCTTTCACCGTAGCTTTGGATTATATGCTTCAGCAACCATAAGTTACCAGATGCTCCTAAATTGTAACTGGCTGAAATTTTTCATATAATGTCAGAAGTTCCCAAGTTCCCTGATCCTGTTTCTTTATTTCAAATGCACCAGCAAGTATCTTCACAAGGAAACTTCTTTGACAATGTTATAAAGGTGTAGACCACCAGCTGTATATATGAGGGTTACTGGTCTTCGAAGTGGTACTAAAGGACATATGTTAGAAAAAATAGGTGCATCAATCAACAGTTTAGAATGAGATAAAAATAAGTTGAGTATCAGTATAGCAGGTTACTTTGTGATGTGTGCTAGATTTCCAAATACCGAGACAAATGTAAATGCTACCACTTGAATATTCATAAGAGGTCATCACAAAACTTGGTTGGTGATTGTTTTAAATATCAGTGTAGTTGTGATCATTTCAAAATGTCTTGTCTTCTAGAGCTATGAAGAGGAGAGGAGGAATCGGTCGGAGCTTGAGGTTCGATGCCAGCGTTTAACATTGGAACTGGCTGATACCAAGCAGATGATTCAGCAAGGTGATTATAGACAAGAGAACTATGATAAAGTAAAAAGGTAGGTATCTCTATAGTTCAAGTGTTCTACTGACATACAAAGGTTAATAGATAAACGTCAACCTTGATTGACTAGAGTTTTTAATTTGATTTTTGGCTTATGCGCACCACAGATTTTTCATTACCTCAATCTACTAACAGTTCAATTATTTCCTGTAGTATATTGCAGCGTAAGATGAACAACACTGTGAAATGTGATGCATCAAATTATCTTCCTACAAGTTTAAATTTAGAGATTTACTGTGTTTTCAGAAGCGTCTGCCAGTCTCATTGCAACTAAAGAAGTGGGAGCTGTTGGTGTCAAGCATCTTAGAACAAATACTCTTTTTTTTTCTTTTTTTCCCCTAGTTTAAAAGCAATGATCTAACAAAAGGTCCTGTGCTCTACTGTGTGGTGTCTACACAGTGAATTAAGAGGGTAGGGCCTTGGGGATTAATATTTATCAATTTAAGATATCCTTGCAACCAGAAATTTGAAAGGGCTGTTATAAGCACTCTTTGTCAGAGAACCTTAGGATTACCTTAGTGAATTGGTTTAACTGCAGGGTCTCTTTTCTTTTTAAAAATACGGATTTTAGAGTTCTAGACTATACTTTGAATGCCCATCTTATAAGCAACAATTGCAAAATAGTGAAAACAGACTTCTTATAAATACACTCATAGGTGTATATTTCACAGTCCAGCTCCCAAACTGCTTTTTCAGTGTGCTTGCAAGTGCAAGAAATCTGGCCTTTGGCACATTTGTTGGGAAATAGATTTAAAAAATGGGGATTATGAATAGCAAATACCCTGTCAGCTCCTTAGTTGCTCATACTGAATGAACTCGGGCACAGTTACTGACACAAATGACTTTGCCAGTAAGTCATTTGAAGGAAGTCTGTCTTCTTTATAGCTGTTCACAGCTATATGTACTAAACCAACTTTGGAATCTACCTGGAAGCTTGTTGCAAATAGGATGGATTGATGCTATGGTTTGCTTCCCATGTGCAACTGCATCTTAATAAGTGGATTGTAATAACTTTCATGTGAATGGCCCCAGTGTTTAACAGTGTACATTTGAAATAGTCTTGAGTTTAAAAAGGCATGAATGAACGTGCCAAAACTATATTTGAGAGAGTAGGTTGTATTCATTTGGGTAGGGCACAGACGAAGGGGAGAGCACTGTTTTGGCATGACTGCATGAGGATATTTGGGAGCATTGCAGGAGTTAATCACTTCCAGGCTCGTTTCTGCCTTTAAAAATGCTATGTCAAATCTTCTAGTTCTGGTGTACTACAAGTTATCTCAGTTTTAAAGCTATGTTATGCTTAATATAAAACTGGTTAGCTTTTTTCCAAACTGGAAGTTCATACTGGCTCATTCATTTCTCTGTTCTGACAGGGTCAGATAGAGTGGAGACAGAACTGCTTCTTTGTGCATACAGGA